TGTTCCATTGCCTGAGATTTCAGAAAATAGTGAGCAAGATTCTGCATACCCACAGGGGTCTGGAAATTGGGATTTTGGGCAGCAGAGTTCTGTTAGTCATGATGAAGCTGAGGATTCTTGGATGGTCAAGCCTGCATTAGATGTTCCAGTACAGACAGAGAAAGAGGCTGACTGGCTTGTGTTAGTTTTCCCAAGGGAGTCATGGTCAGAATGTGAAAAAAATGTGTTAATTGGGGATCTAGGAAAGGATGCCTCCTTCAATAGAAGGGGTCAGATTTGTCAACAGAGACATCTGGCCAGGGAGAGGCGCTTCTCCCAAAGATTAATTGACAAGAAGAATAATCCTGAATCTTCTCAAGGGAAAAGGCATGGATTCTTGAATATATATGAGATCAACTGATATTGATTCCTCAGAGGAATCAACGTTTGGTTAAAGCAGCAATTCCTTTCTTGTGTGCAAGTTTCTTGTGCCTTGGATTTCATATTAATGTTTATATTCCTGTAACAACTTTTGCCTTGGATTTCATTATTCAAGTTTTTGTTGCTGTATCTTCATGTATCTTAGTGTGCTGTTCCTGGATTATTTTGATATTACAGACTTTTGTAAATTTTGTATCTTGGTTATGGTTTTATGCATTCCTGTTTCCTGAACTTCGTGTTTGGATTCCTGTTTTCCCAAGTTTAAGTGACTCTTATTATGGACAATATCCTATACTGCTTTTGATCATTTTTTCATCCTTTTGCTGAAGCTATTTTTATTCTTCAGTAAACTGCTTTGCTTATACTGAACTCCGGAGTGTGAAATTGGTTCAGAAGTGTCTTCCCAGCCCTGGTGTGCGACAGACACATTAGATCTGTTCCCCAAAACTGAGCTGGTGTCCACTTAGCTGGGAGTGGAAAAATGTAATCAGGACTTTGCAAATAGAGCATAGCCTACAATTCACAGGTTAACAGCCTATGATTGCCAACCCATGATCTGTTAATCAGTTAACATTACTACTATTTTAAAGGTTTAGGACCAACAAAATTCAATACATACAGTTTTTTGGCACTTTTTATGACCCTTATTGTTATTGATGGCTCTTTTGCACTTAATGATGCAGTTAAATATAATCTGTTGTATTCATTCATGAAGGTGATTTGTTATCTCTTTCCTGAGCTATTTTCACAGACTATTAGAGATTTACATGTTGCTAAGTTGGTGCATTGCACAGGTCTTTTTGAGTTTGGTCGTGTTCTAAATAGCTTACATCAAGTGGCATTTTTGGAACTCTCCACTGTCTACCGGAATGGTTTATTGATTGTTTGCCTCTATTTCTGACCTATAATTATGATTTGAATTTTGGCTTTTAAATAAACTAATGCTAAAGCTTCCCGAGAAGATTACTATTAAAGACCTAGTGTACCCAACTTTACAGAAAGATGAGTGAATTGTGATTCATAAATTGTTTACCTGTATGTTGGATTGTAGTGTATATATTGCTCTTAACATGTAGATAACATGTTCCTAAACTATGGTGCACTTTTATCTTAAAGTCAGTTTAAATCTAAGCCCAACTGAATATTTGGGATATGAATCTTATGACAAAAATATGGTGTATATAAGGTGTAATCTTAAGGGCCCCTCAAAAAAAAGGGGGGGGGGATGGGAAAATATGATTTCTAGAGCATCTTATGGGAAATCCCTTGGAAAGGAACTAAGGGGGTAGGGGAACAGTATTTTTCATTTGACAAAAAGTTTATCGTGTAAACTGTAGTACAATGAATTAATTAACCATTTTTGCCCAACATGATTTATCTAACTAGATTTCTGATAAATTCTGTTGTTAATCCCATACTTTAAGGAATGGGCTATTTTCAGAATATTAGAAGTTTTTAGGATGAATGATTCTCTGCTTTCCTCTTTCTCTTTCTTATTCTCTTTGTTAGACTCAGTAGAAGGGGGTAGCCTCAGAAAAACGATAAAAGATTGGAGGAATCACATCAGATGTCTCTCTTAGTAAACAGGCTAATCCGATCACTTTGTCATGAGGATAGAAATAGAAAAAATTGAAACTTTTGAAAATGCATCATAAGAGTTAGCAAACATTAAGGAAAGATTGAAGATGAATAGAACAGAAGGAAAAATAGGAAGTCATTGTTTTTATAGCCTTTGGGTATTTTATGGTTCTTTGAGGTAATCAGACCCTTTAGAGATGAAAGGTTTGAAATTCCAACTGTTTGGCCTGCATGGAAGTTGGTAGTTATTCTAAGCATCATTATTATTCTTTTCACTTCTCCTCAAAGTGGTAAAAAGTGTACATTCTACTAATACTTGGAGAAATGGCATAGTTTTACAATGACAGTCTTAATTAATCGGAACAAATTTTTTCCTAACCATCCAATGGGAATTATATTGACATCATACATGTTTTATTAAATAAGGCAAGGCTATAGCTTAGGCAAGATATGTCAAACTTGTGGCCCACAGATGTTTGGGCCTCCAACTCCCAGAAGCCCTGTCCAGTGGCCAGGAATTCTGGGAACTGAAGTCCAAAACACCTGGAGTGCCACAAGTTTGACATCACTGACTTAGACAAAGAATTGTTACATATGAATCATGACAGACGCAAAAGTAAATGATCCTGTAATTGTATCAGCTCAGTTAAAGGGAACAATCAGAAATATGAGCTTAAGAAATAAAACAACTCTTCAAAGGTGAGTTATGGGTGCTCACCCTGATAAAAGACTTCTCTGAAAACTTTAGAAAAACAGTAATAGGTCTAGGAAAACTTCCAAAAACATATATGAATGTAGGGCTCTGCCTGTCCACTTTCATGCAGATAGGAATACAGACGAGTGGTTAGGACTAAGTATCATTCTCCTTTTGTACAGAATTAAATACTCTTCGTGGGTAAACCAGAGCATGATTCAGGAAAATATGGTTAACCAAGTGTAACATCCAAGGGTCTTTAGTTAGTCACCTTGTCTAATGTGAATGCCAAAGTAATCAGGAAAAGGCTAAACAAGTGATTGGGGAAAGACTGAACAAGAATAAGGAAACGTGAACAGGAGAAGGTCCTAATATAATTCATCTATCATCTATCGCATACTTTCTTACTTTAGGACCTAAATGACTTCCGTGAGGAGGCATGAACTTCCTCAGATTTCCTCAAGCCTGATATAAATTGTTGACCAAAACTCAACAAAGTGCCAAGATAAAACAAATCTAAAAGTTTGCATATGTTTTCAAGGATAGATTGTTGACTCTATATCAGTCAGAATAGATAAGTGTTGAAAAGTCATTACTAATAAGTTTTTGTGTATTTTGTTTAATCAGGTGACCTCTTGTTGTTTATCTAGGATTATGGGATTAAAGTTCTGGTGGTATTTCAGTTGGAAATACATGACAGTTTTAAAGAGTTCACAATTTTCCCCCCACCGCTATAGTTGCTGCAGACCCAACCTGATAAAAAGGTCTCAGAAGGGAGTTTGTCTGATGTTCCTGAGAAGAGAATCCTGCAGCCTAGGAGTAGCTACCAACAAGGTCCTGTTTGCAAATCATGCTTCTTGATTGGTTGAGGCAGACACGATGCAGGCATTCATTGGTACAGAAAAATGCTCAGAGATACACAAAACATTAGTTATTATTCATTATACAACTTTGATTTGCTGATGGATTTTTGTACCTACTCACCTATTGCTGCTCTTTAGAGTGAATGCGCTTTCTAGTGTAAATTAACACAATATTGTATTGTCAAAGGCTTTCATGGCCGGAATCACTGGGTTGTTGTGGGTTTTTTTGGGCTATATGGCCATGTTCTAGAGGTATTTTCTCCTGACATTTCGCCTGCATCTATGGCAAGCATCCTCAGGGGTAGTGACCTCACTACCTCTGAGGATGCTTGCCACAGATGCAGGCGAAACGTCAGGAGAAAAATGCCTCTAGAACATGGCCATATAGCCCGAAAAAACCTACAACAAGCCTAACACAATACTTTTTATTAACCATTACTGAAGAGGATAGAAGAGATGAGTAGTGCAGATCTATAGCAAATCACAGTTGATTTGATTGTAAGATGAGGTCAAATTATTTAGGACTAGTTTCCCCAAACCGGCAGTTTTTGGGTGAATGAGACTTCTTCCATTTCCGGACAACAATTGTATTGTGGGCTTTGTGATCCATTTGAGGAAAAATCAATCAGGATGGAAAAACCACCTGTAAAACAACCAAAAATCACTTTGAAAGTACAAAGAGCAAAAGGAGTATATGATGACAGTTTCCGTGCTGTTGTCCCATGTAAATTCTAGAAATTTCAAATAATAAATTGATCAGCAATATTCTATCTAATCATACAGTCACCATTATCAGCATTAGTGACAATTAATTGATTTGTTCCCTGAGCTTAATATTAAATGTTACCAAATTATCTTTGAAACTTGAAAGTTCCAAGTTCTTGTCATGACCGATACTTCTGGATGTTAGTTTTCAAAGAAAGCTTTATAAATAGTGAAGAAGAAGGACAATATAATGATTTGATGTTTTATGGAGTGAAACAAAATTATATTTGTTTTGATTTTGAACCTTTATAGTAGTGGCTGGTGTTTTAACTAATTGCCAGCTTTGGTTTGCATTGCAACCATTAAAACGGATCTTAATATCTTCAAAAGTCCTTGTCAACATCCTACTATACTTGTAAATTGCATTGTGTCAGCTGCTGACCAGTTTATACGGAAGTAACATATGCACGACTCTAAAAAGCCATGTGATAGCTGCTTGTCAGCATCATGTAAATGTGCTTGGCGGCTGCCCAAATTGCATAGACAAGCTTTGTATTCTGACTTTTGTTTGAATTTGTACAGAAGGTCTAATGCTTTTAGACTTTAGTCACCGAGGCATGCTTTCCTGCAATCATTTTTTTAATCTGTTCTGTTTTGCTTCTCTGGTATGTTGCTGTTTAGAGATTAAATGAGATGGAAAGGACCAACTACCCAGGATGCATTGTTAGAAGGAGGGGGCAAATTTGATTGTCGTCAGCACTGGGTTTCCATATGGGTACTTAAAAGCATTTGGCTTGCAGATGATTGCTCTAAAAATAGCTTGTGAGCAGAGTTTGTGTCAGGGTCCGATTTCGGGTTTTAGCTGAGCTGGCCGTAAGAAACTTTCTTTGCTGCTGCTGCAAGGCATACACGAGGGTGATTTTTTGCTGATTCTGTCTTGGATTCTGTGGTTTTATACTCCAATCTACTTTGTACATGGATAGAAGGCACTGACACCATGGCTGAGGATTCAGGTATAGTTCTGGCAGTTTGAAAAATCAACCTATTTATAAGCAGCAGAACCACAAATATATTGTGTTATATGGATTCTGTCTGAAGACTAAATAGAAGCATTAATTGTAAAAAAAAAAAACCCTTAATTTTGGGGAGATTTTTTTTTGTTTCTAATGTTGTGTGGCCTTAAAACCCTAAAACTTGGGATTTATATTTGTTTCTAGTGTTGCGTGGCCCTGTGAAAAACTAAATTTATCTTATATTTGAAGTTGAGATTCTGAAAGTGGATTGTATTTTTCCCTTTCGTAGTGATGAATATATTAATTCACTTTGTAGGAAATGTGACATATGAACATGATAAAGGTTTAGAAACTCCACAAAACAATGACAAGAAGTAGTTTAAGGTAATATGTTACAGGGGTTTTAAGGTACATGATAGCATTTTAGACTCATGGTAGGTGAAAGTAAGGGCTTACCAGATTTGGAAACTGACCTACTTTTGCATTGCTGGCGCTGCTTGTCTGCAGAATTTCTGCTATGATCTAGTTCACTGACATGTATTTAAGTCAATAACATCATACCACAATATATACTTTTGTTTCTTAGTTGGTTCTCTAATAAGTAAATGTGAAATCATAAACCCAAAGCACTAAAAGAGATAACATTTCAGTGATCATAGATGTGGGAAGTCTGGGAGAAAAAGTTGCATAACAAAAATTGCTCTTCTAGTAAGCGATTGCATTTTTCTTGATTAGATTGCTTGTGCGTAGCAGGAGTGGCTTCAAACATCTAAAAATAAATGTATCATAAGATTAAAGTACTTTTATGGAATTCAGCTTTTAATTTCAGCTAAATCACAGGAGAAACTATTTCTTATTATTTGACAAGTCATTTTCACTCTGTAGGGTCACTTGCTAAACACTTTATGTATTTTTGTCTGAATGAACTTGTTGGATCTTGCAGTATGCAAGATTATATTTTCATCATTTCAAGGCATATTAGCAACTGTATTAGCAAATATTCTGTACTTCCCCTGATAAATAATGAAGGCTATATTAAATGTTGCATTAATAAGAGTTGTAGATTTCCGATGCCTTTTAGATTAAATAGCAGATAGTAATCAGTGAGGAAATTAAAAAGAAGCGGGATTCATGAAATTATATATATATATATATATATATATATATATATATATGATATGAAAATTAACACAGTGTGTTATCTTCAATATTTGTTCATGGTTTTATTCTCAGTAATTTAGCATTCAAATTGAACCAGCTTTTGATTGTTATGGGTATGGCACATTTTGATTTCATTTCTCTGTTAGATTTTAAATGGTGGTTTCCTTCATCCTTATAACTAAAAGTATACACCAAAGTATTTAGTCGTAGATACTAATCTGGTGATACTGCTTCATTTCACTTTCTTGTGTGATTGCTTCAAAGCCAAATTAAAACAAAGGTTTTGACTTAGAGGTGCCAGTTCATTGCTTGTTATACAAAACTGTTCTTTGACTTGGAACCATTGGTTGTCTAACGATAGTGTTGAAAAATAAGCTATTTCTGTGTCTGTACCCTGGATATTTCTTAGTATTTTAAAGCAATTATTCGTTTTCTATTTGTAGGAATCCCTCTTAAATACCTATGCCCCCATATACTTAGCTTGCACTCCCTATACACATTTATTCAGACACAAATCCTAGTGAGTAAATAAGGTTCCTTTTAAATAAGTGTGTAACATTACATTTTTTATCCTTTAGTTGCATTTAATCTGATTTTCAATGAAAATAGAGATTGATGGAGCTTAGAGGTAATCAAGCTGTTTTGAAGGTTTTATTGAAACTCAGCAAGAGAGTATTGTAATAGTTAACTAATTCAGTCTCAGTTTTAAAAGCATATTTATTAGCTTTAAGCGGGTTTCTATTAAAATCTTAGTCCACTCATAGTCCATACATTTCCTAGTGGTTTCTGGTTTGTAGATTAAACTCTGTGGTATTCCTTATGGTAGTTAAGCTGGATAGTGGAAGAAATCCATACAAAAGCAACATGTGATTTTTAAAATATGTGAATTGTTCAAGACATAATCTTAATTTAGTGTCGGACATAATTGACCATAACCACATAATGACTGATCAACACTGCGTCATTAAAGATTTCTTTGTTAATAAGTTTACTAGGTGTGACCTAATTGAATTTTAAATGAATGTTGCTTGCTTTTGTATCTAAGTCATATAAATGAAAATATGAAAATATATTTCAAAACATTTAAAATCATAATGGCTAGCGGTCACCTGTCTCTATTTTTCCTGAAAATGTATATCAGCTCCAGCTGGTTCTATGAATCATAGTTGGAAGAGACATCGTGGCCCATCCAGTCCAATCCTTTGCCAAGAAGCAGGAAAATTGCATCCAAAGCAGCAAATCAATTATTTGAGTCTATTTGAAAGGCTATGGTTGAAATGCTGTTTGCTTATGCAGCATGCTATAGAGATTTGTATCATGCAAGTAGTCTGGGAAAACAGAATTTGAATCCCTGCTCAGCCATGGAAACTCACCTTAGATAAGTTGCAGCCAACATCATATGAATCAATCTTGCCAGGAAAATCCTGTGGTAGAATAACTAGACATTATAGTCATTTTGAAGGCACAGAACAGCAGCAATAATCTAAAATGAAATTTGATTGCTTTTTTCCTTTCAAAAGCCCGCATGCAGAGAATAAATAATTATTGGTTTGTGCCGATTATTAATGCATCACTGACTCAAGGGAAATTACCATCTGGTCTGAAGCAGGTAGTGATGAGACCAGTCCTGAAGAAGACCACCCTTGACCCTACGGTTTTGAATAACTACAGGTCAATCTCTAACCTCCCCCTTCTGGGCAAGGTGCTGGAGTGGGTGGTCGCCTTGCAGATCCAGGGATTTCTGGAGGACACCAATTATCTAGATCAGTTGCAGTCTGGGGTTAGGCCTGGTCACAGTACTGAGATGGCTTTAGTCGCCTTGGTGAATGATCTCCGCAGGGAGCTCGACAGGGGAAGTTTGACCCTGCTGGTTCTCTTGGACACCTCAGTGGCTCTCGATACCATCGACCATGGTATCCTTCTGGGCCGGCTCTCTGGGATGGGTCTTGGGGGCATGGCTCTGTCGTGGCTCCAGTCCTTCCTGGAGCGTTGTTCCCAGATGGTGAAGCTGGGGGACACCTGCTTGGACCCCTGGCCTTTGACCTGTGGGGCCTCGAAGGTTCCATTCTATCCCCCATTCTTTTTAATATCTACATGAAACCACTGGGAGAGGTCATCCGGAGTTTTGGAGTTCGGTGCCATCTCGATGCGGATGACGCCCAGCTCTACTACTCCTTTCCACCTAATTCCAAGGAATTTTGCTCAATAAATTTACCATTTGCAAAGTTCATAGCTTCCAATAGTAATTCAGTTTTTTTATTTTACAGAGGCAAAACATGGAGGAAACAAGAACGGCAAAAAGGAAGGCATTTCTGGAAGTTCGTTTTTTACTTGGTTTATGGTAATTGCGCTCCTGGGAGTATGGACTTCAGTTGCAGTGGTTTGGTTCGAGCTTGTTGATTATGAGGAAGTTCTAGGTAAGGTTTCCAATAGTCACAGTATGTAAAATCAAAGAAAGATGTCTAAAACCAAATAAATGTCAAATATAGTATTTCCAAATACCATACTGGTTTCTAGCTACTTATTCATATTTATTGTCAACCGTTAGAATTCTAGTAAGAGCTATCAAGTTTGCAGGTTAAGAGACAGACACATGTATATTTCAATTATTTGTAACCATAATAACTGGAAAAGCAGTTGGGATGAAGATAAACTTGTAGGTAAAGGGGATAATCTATTTGACTAATATGTATGGGTTCTAATGATGTCAATAATGGTTTCTGTATTTTTACCATGCATGCAGCCAAAGCAAAGGACTTCCGTTATAACTTGTCAGAGGTACTCCAAGGTAGGATTATAGAGAAATAAAATTTCAAGTATAAAATTATATTTAAAAAAGAATACCATCTTTTTTTTCTTTCCTAAGTTTGAGAAGCTGTTTTATTACTAGCTGACTGTTAACACTTTGATGGAGTTAACATTTAAGCTGAAATTCTATCATAGCCATTTGTTTTTAATTTTTTTGTGCCTTAACTTTCCATTTCAGGTTTCTTTCTTTATTAAAATGTTTATATCCTGCTCTCTGTCCACAGATCTCAAGGCAGTTTACAACCTGAAAAATCTGAAACAGTATAAGCAATAAAGCTGATTTTTAAAGACTAAGATGATATTAAATAATTTAACATTTTTTAAAAAAAAGAATAAAACTGACTAAAACTAAATTTGTTTCAGATTGTTTACTCCTTTATGGCCATTTACAGTTTATGCTAGTCTCCTACATTTTGTTTGAATTTGAGAGTAATGAAAAAGTGGCTGAAAAGATCTGGACAGCATGAGCTCTGCATTTCTCCTTCCTTTTTTGAGGGGGATTCATGTGTTTTCGGTTGCTTCTTTCACATAGCCTTGGGTCTTGAGAGCTTTTTAGGTAATAGCTGGCATGTACATTGTTCTTTGCTTTCTTCTATTTAAGGATGCTATGGGTTCTTTTGCTTTGGCCGTTTGATTCTGGGGCCTAAGTTTGACAGAAATGGCCTGACTTTATAGATTTTATGCTACTGTGTTTGTAGAAATCTGGGGAATATGGTAGACAAAAGGAAATTTGAAATTTTCTGGTATTCCACTACTATTCTGCATATGTTGTAGGGAAAATGAACCTCTAGCTAGATTAGTAGAGTGTGACAAGCTTCTAATACATAGTCTAGCAAAATGTAAGAAGAGGAGGTGGCACTTGACAAAATCTGATTATAGATGTCCTGTGTGACTTTTCATTACAGAAAAAAATGACTTAAATCAATCTTTTTAAGCAGAGGGCCAGTTCACAGTCCTTTAGACTGTGGGGGCTCTCTATAGTTTGGGGGGGAAAAACATGAAAGAGTTCCTATGCATACTGCACATATCTTAATTGGAGTCCAAAGGAACAGGAAACAACAATGCAATATTTAAAATGGAGAAGATAAACTTATTAGTATTTCAATGGGAACGTGGGCCTACTTTTGGCTGATGAGATAGCCAAGTTAATTAGGACTGTTGTTGTGTGCCTTCAGGTTGTGTCAGAACAAGGGCAACCCTAACTAAAGTTTAGAGCAGGGGGTGAATAAATGTACAGGGGGTGAATAAAGGGCCCGGGGGCCTTAGTTGGGGGATCCCTGACTTAAATGTTGCCATTAAAATAATGTTAATAACTTTTCTTTTTGAGAAAATTATAACCATATTTCCATTATAATGATTACAAATATATTAACTCAGGGCATATGTATGTGGGTTCAGACATTGACTAATTCAGACATTGTGCCAAAATTTTAAAAAATCCATAATATATTGAGAGCTTAATTTGTTATCAAGCTGTCTAGCAAGCCATAGCTCAACATTCTTTGCAGGTAATATAGAGAGCCCCCTTTCCTGGTTTATTCACTGTAACTTGGGAAGATTAATTCAATATTTTTACCAATATTTTACAATATTTTCAATTTGTTGCCTTGGGCTAAAGCAAAATAGTTTGGAACTGTTAAGGTACTTAAATTAAAGGTAGTTGTCTGATCCAGCATCTCAGCATGGTACACAGTAGAAAACTCATCTTAGGCAATACCCCCCCCCCCCCTCCAGTACCAGCACCTTTCAACCTATAGTGATCTACAGTTCCTTTTGCTTGGCATGCTTCTTTAAACTCAGTTCTTCTGAGCGTTTCTTATTGATTGGGTATGACTCTGTTGGTGTTTTAGTGTAGTCGTTCACAGTTTTCCATAAGGGCAGGATTGTTTTCACATTGCATGTGTCTTCATTTCTTCTAAATGCATCATTCCTGCAATCAGGTGTTTGCCTTGCTGCATCATATCTTTTGACATTAGATATATAATTGTGTTAATGAAAAACTGATATGAAATTATTGGGGATTGTCAGGACTACAGTTGATGTAAATGTATAAGGCTACAGGTGTATTTTGGATGCAAAATGATAATTTTTAAATGCCACAAGCAAGCCTTGAAAAGATTTAAGAGTTATATCACAGAACGAGCATTTTAAGAAGATTGCTTTATTTGGGCATGAAAAATCTATTACCTTAAAACAAGTAGTAGGCTTACATTAGTATTTGGAATTGAACCTTTTCTAAAATGTTGAAGGATTTATGATTTTGGGCCACAGTCCATCACACATTTAGCAGATTAATTTGAAGTATATTGTCGAATTAATTGTCTCCTCTACTCTAGGAAAACTTGGGATTTATGATGCTGATGGAGATGGAGATTTTGATGTGGAAGATGCTAAGGTTTTGCTAGGCAAGTACACATTTCTAAACTCTATCCTAAAATGTATCATTATGTTAAAAATTCAAACACAAACCTGCTTGTATTTACAGTAAAATGATTTTGGTGAAATTATGTAGCGTTGCAGAAGAGTCAACTGTATATTCATTCTAAAGTCCTGTTCTCATCTACAGTATTAATTTATTATTTTTAAGCAAAATTGACTCCCAGTTCTGGGAGAAAGTGGGAATATAAGTGAACTAATAATAACAGCAATATATTAAAAATAAAATTTTGTTATAAATAGTCTACTTTTCAGTGTATTTTTACAAAGCGAATTGGAAAGTACTGGTCAAAAATTCTAAATCAGTTAAAGGAATATTCTCTCAAATAGGTAGAATTAAATCTCCTTGTTTAAGCTAATGGGACTCAAAACAATTCAACAAATATCCGTTCTTTCTCCTTTTTAGCTAGATTCTAAAATAAATGTAGGAACCATTAGAGGATAAAGGAAAAGAAAATTACATTGTCTGTTAAGTCTTTGTTGTAACACTTGGAATATAGCAATCCCAAACTCCTGTAATTTAAGATGATTTGGCCCACATTTTGTAATATTGAAGATCAGCTGTGTACTGTTAACTTTTTCCTCTTTTGAGTGTCATATCCCATCTTTGCCTTGAGCATACTAGTGAGGTTGTTGTGTGTGTACATAGTACATAATATTTAATAGTAGGAGTAGGCCAACCTTAAAGCAAAATATCTTAATGGAAATGGTTTTAATGGAGCTTCCCACTGTGAAACCTTGTCTTTTGGTGTACTTCCACCCACCAACACATAATCTATTAGCAAAAAGTTTGTAGAAGAGTGCAGGAATCGGCTTAGAATTGTTCATTTTGGAGAATGTTAGATAGCTCTTTGATTGAATATTCATAACTTTTAAGTTTTCCATTTTGCTATTGTGGATGTGTCCTTCTTAGTTCAGCCTTCCCTTTCATAGTAAACTGGCTGGTGAGTATGAATACTTCAGTCAACTGCTGATTGTGCAGTGTTGCTTCTCAGATATTTTTAGTTGGGCTGTTAACGTTAGAGGAATAGAGGGACTGAATTATATGAACTAATTTAGTCAAGTTGCATAAGGCATTGGCAAGTGCAATAGGACACCTAGAATCAGGTTCAAAATTATTGGATACCACTGTAATTGGAGTATTGGTTTTCATTACCGGTTTTAAAAGGGAATTGTGTTAAGTAAACAGTGTTAAGTATCTGTGAAACTCACCTCCAAAATGTTTAAAAAATATAGTTGAAGTGTACTTACGTAGCATGTGTGTGTGTGTGTTTTTTTTTTTTTTACTAAAAGCAAAGCAAATGGAGAAATATTTACTAGGATTGAAGAAAGACTGTTGTAAAAGGTTAGAGGAACTACTGTGAAGTGTGAAGACATAATTCAGTAAAATGAGAAACAAATACAATTCCAAGACATAATTAAAGAACACTGGAAGGAAGCAGAGCAAAAAGTTTGCTTGTTCAGATTTGAAAATGTTTCCAAAAGGTATAAAAGATGGGAAAAGTTTTTGAAAATTGGTCTGCAGATTGAAATACAGAGCAGAAAAGTGAATTAATGAGTTCACATTTTATGTGGACAGCCAGATTGCGAAGATTTAGAAGATTAGTAATAGCACAGATAGAATAATGTGTGTATGGAACTGGAAGATAATAGTCTGGAAATGAAGCATAGTTCACAGGTCCTGGAATGTTCTCATTAGATAAACGAATCTGTGACATATTATTACTATGCCATATTATATGCTGTTAATAGGTACTATAGTGTATTTATTTATGGTGAAGTTGATGCTGATGTAATAGTATCCCCTGTCTTGCATAAAGATTATTAGTACATTTGGCAAATTTAATTAGACTTTGTGGTGTTATCTTGGTAAAGATCTCCCAGTGTTTGCAGCAAGATTTAGTAGATTGCTTTTATGTGGGATATTTAGAATACTTTCACTTCCAGCATTTATAGTACACAAAAACTAGCAGATTTAGATGTATCTGAATTTTGGTGTATGAGTGTGAACAGTTCTTTTTTTTTAACATTGTATACCACATCAGCTTTTGTGCAAATGCAAAAAATAGTGATTATAATAGTATCAGAGTGTTTTCTCAGTAGCTGAACTATTGAGTAATTTTATTTGTTTCCTCGTATAAATACATTTATGTATTTATTTGTCTGTCCAGTGGTTCTCAACCTGTGGGCCATGGCCCAGCTGTGGGCCATGAGAACGAAAATACGGTCTGTTAACCTCCTTCCTCTTTCTTTATTTTATTTTATTTATTTCCGCTCCTTTCTGCAGAGCTAACCAGCCCTGCCCCTTTTGGTATTAATGTTGGAAATTGGTCCCTAGTCAAAGTGGTCCCAGGTCAAGCGGGCTCTGATCAAAGTGGGCCCTGGTCAAAAAAAAAGTTTGGGAACCACTGGTCTAAGCTTAAATAAACTATCTATCGTATAAATAGATCCATGCATTTTGCCCAATACAATCAGTGAAACTGAGAATGAGCTTAATCTGCCTGTCCGTGCAGGTAAGTATAGTGCAAAGGAGGGAGACAGGTAGCAAGGAAAGAGAATGGGAGACATAGGTAGACATGGGATGGTGTTGTAGAGAAAGCAGAACATACATTTAGAAAGGTATATAATAACAATAATAATAATAATAATAATAATAATAATAATAAATTATTTATATTCCGTTCTATCTCCCTGGAGGGACTCAGGGCGGATTCCAAACATAAAAGGCAAACATTCATTGCCCGAATACAATACATCCATACTAACAAAATTTGACAGCCCAACATATAAACATGAATTATGACCTAACAACTAAAATTAAATAAGTATCCTATGTGGGGAGCTGGTAGAAAGTTTGAGTTTTACTTGTAAATCTCTGGGAGAAGCTTCTAGCCCTCATAAGAGCGACTACTCAGTTAATTTAGTTTACTTCCTCCTGCAACCAAAGGAAATGTAATCTTAAAGGCATGAGAAGAAATAAGAATTCTTTTCAATGTGACAAGATTTATGAGCCTGATCTTGTTATTGATTTCAATTTTTCAGGTTAAGCAAGTGTTGAGGAACACACTGCTTGTTTCTTGATTCTTTGTCTACTTTGATTTCCTCAAATCTCTATTTTTCACCAGGCTCTGTTTCATAGATAGAGCCTGAGTTCAGCTGAAGTCTTTCCACCCTTATACTAGTTTTCTGTATTAGAAGCTTTGAAATTATGGAATATGAAGGGCAGTGTCCTGTCTATCTTTCTCAAACTTGAATGTTTTATGTATTTCCTGCTGGTGACATGCATTCTTATTCCACTCTTTCCACCCTTCCCATAATAATATATGTCACCTGAATAAACAATATGTAAGGATTCATTGTTACTAATTTTAATAAAGCTATGATAGATTGTGATGGTATGGAGGTTAATGTATAATCCTTACAGAAGTTAATCTCTATTTTTCTTTATTCCTTTCTTTATGAGAGTACTGCAGAAACATTTTAGTGATTAGCAACTTACCACAGTATCATTTTATCAAGTTTCATATTGTTGGGGGATTAGGCATTAAGTATGCTTTTTTCCTTTTAAAATGATATGCATACTTTTTAATAGAGTCATACTTGATACAGTAACTTAATCTGATTGTTAGGGGAAAAGTAATTAAACTTAATATCATGAAAGAATGATTATTGTCATTCTTCCACACTTGTAATTTTTTTTGTAGATTTGTTTTTTCACAGATTTATTTATCATATATACTCGCGTATAAGCCGACCTTAATATAAGCCAAGACACCTAATTTTACCACAAAAAATCTGGAAAAACTTATTAACTTGAGTATAAGCTAAGGGTGGGAAATGCAGCAGCTACTGGTAAATTTCAAAATAAAAATAGATACTAAAACAATTATATTAATTGAGGCATACAGCTTCTCCTCTCCTCTCAGCACAGCAACCCTACCGCACACCTTCCTCTCCTCTCTCGGCACAGAGATCCAGCTGGGTTGCTGTGCTGAACGGGGAGGAGGCACGCAGCTGGTAGAAGCCCTGCAAAGGGCTTACTTCAGGCCCGTGCTTTCCCTCCATTACCCTCACTCAGTTATAAGCTGAGGGGGTCTTTTTCAGTAATATGCTTTCTCTAGGAATATCTAGATCCTCCAGTTTGACTCTATGGTCAACTGCTTGCTAACTAGAGGACCCTGAATCACACTGGATGACCTAGAGATTCCTAGAGAGATGTTCTCACAGGAAAGAAAAATGTGTGTGTGTTTTTTTAAAAAAAATCATGGTTTCCTCACAGTTGTGGCAATTTTGCATCCCTACCCCTTCTGAACATGGAAGGTCTTCTGTAATTGAATTAGGAATTACTGTATATCTACATTACAGCTCTCTTCCTAGCATTAATTATAGTGATCAGTGTATTCATAGAAGGGTTCTATCTATAAAGTAGGGGAAAATCCTTTTCCAATTTAGCATTTCAACACCCCACTCACAAATGTTCCCCATATTTGGAGAATTCCTTGGAACAGATCCAGTATTTCAGGAATATTTCAGGAAGAAATCACCCAACCATTGCAGGAAGACATGCTTTTGATCAATAGAATGCTTTTGATCAACAGAATTGCCATAGTTGTATACAAAACTAGTAGTCTGAAATACTTATTGGTATATGGAGTGGGTTTAAAATGTATACCTTCAAAATGGTCTAAACTGTCATGTGGTTTCACTGCAGGAATTGTTTTAGTGTGCAAACAATGTTGAATTTTAAAACTTCCATAGTTACTCTGTTCCCTACCAAAACCTCCCCAGCTATGAATTGATATTTAACATGCTTAAAGAGGAGAACATAACATCTTCACCCTTAGCAGTGACACAAGTTGCATTTATGTATGTGGCACTCGCTCTGATGTGTGTTTAAAATCTGGTTCTTCTGAGGTGTTTTTAACAGTGTATCAAATTTAAATATTAAATTCCTGAACTGTAAACCACC